AATACGCGCGCCCGGTTACCTAATTACTTCGTGCGCTTCACTCACACACCGACCGAACTGTGTTAATGTGTATATAGGTATAGCACTCAACAGGAAGTGGACAGGTTCGCCGAGCTAAACCCGTGAGTGCTAGTATGGGGGTGATGTGTGTATGTGTGTATATGTATGGGTGTGTGCTTAAATCTAGGGACACAGGTAACTCTATAACAAATATGGTAACTCAGTAGAGATTTGGTAAATATATGTATAGTATAATAAAGCAATAATCAATAATAAATTATGGCCCTTTWGGCCCAACAAATAAAACTGTAAAATATAACAATAATATAGCCCTTGTGGCTCAACAATATAAAATATAATAAATAAAATTGCYGGTTCGGCACAACCAATAGAAATATAATATTATACAGCTAAATAATCGAATAATATAATGTATAATAATTCAATATAATAATAAAACTCACAAATTTGTCGGTGCTCGGCTGGCCAGSTGCTACCTATGCCTATATAAATAATTCCGCACACACAAATATAACAATAATAATAAAAAAAGGCGGCGATTAGCGCCTATAATACAATAATAATATAAATGTGGCGATTAGTGCACACAAATATAATATAAAAAAGTGGCGATTCGCGCCTTGCACAATATAATTGGYGATTCGCGCCTTGCACAATATAATATAAAAAAGTGGCGATTCGTGCCTTGCACAATATAATATAAAAAAGGGAAGTGGCGATTCGCGTCCACGACAATATATGGTCCGCGTAAGCAATAACCACAATACGGTGTACGAACGAGACTGACGAATTACGGCGGCCGTGCTAAATAATAGTCGCCAGCCGATCAGGTGGCGTGTGATAGCGCTTAATCTGCATAATATTATATAATAATTCACAATACACAAATATAATTAAACAAAAATAAGTATATAAAGATAACGACAGGTGAGCGCGAGTGTGTGTGTGTGTGTCAATCGGCGACGGCTCGTAACCGGAGCGCGCGTACATACGATATATTAAATTATATACGTATATTAAATTATGCCGATACTATTTGGCGTCAAGCCGTCAACAGTAGTCTTGTGTTGAGATAAGGTGTCTAGGACTCAGAACTAACGGTTATGATCAAATGTACTATACATAATATGCTGTACCCACTACAAACTCTTATAATTAATGGTGATATATGTAAATATGTACCTACTACCAACCACTTTTTCTAAACTACAAATTAGAGTTATCCACTGTCTGTCTGTTAGTTGGTAGACATAGTTAAGATTGCTAATATTTATATGATTTTTCAATAGCATACTATGAAATAATATAATTTATTGTACTTTTTTAAAACCAGGAATTTATCACTTTCGAAAAGTGAGCTTTGGTTATTATTTTTATATACATTTTTTTTAATTCATTATTTGACTAGGTAATAAATGAAAATATTATAACATCTTTACACCCTAAGTCTTCAAAATATATTTTTTCTTTGTAAAAGCTGTAGTGGTCTAGACGCATTTTGATTAAGTAAAAATTATCATTTTGACTATTATTTGATGTAATATGTAAAAGTATATTACAAAAATTATAAAGAAATTAGGTACCTACCTACCTAGTCAATTGATTGTTTTTATTTTTATAAACAATTATTATTATTACAAATTAGCTATTTCAAGTAAATATTTCTTACTAAGTATTATTACTTATATTTACAAACAAAATTTAAAAATTATTAAAAATAGTACATTAGTATAAAATGATTTATTTGGTATATTATCATGAGTCGGGATTTATATGTTTTTATATATCGTTTCTGAGTATGTACCTGATGTAGTCTTATGAAAGTAAAAAATGTAGATAGTACAGTATACAGTATACAGTAGACAGTAGGTTAGTTGGTATAGTATAGCCGCACAGTTGACAGGGGCGGCTCCAGAGACGTGATTAGGATTTTTTCAGACATTTTCAGAAAATGACGATGATTTTTTTCGGTAATTTTGTTTTTAACAGTATACAATTGTTTAGAAATACAGCTTTTGGGGGTGGGAGGCTAGAGCCACCCCTGATAGTTCAACAGATAATGGTCTGTAGGGTTTGGTCAGCGTAGACAAATTCCCTACTATAACGCAACAGTGGAAATAAGTTTGGGCAGTCAGAAAATGTTCGGAACGTGAAGCAGTTATACGGCGTCCCGGTTCATATCGGCAAATGCGTTGCTGCAGTATGCAGGCCGCCCGGCACCTATGACCAGTAC